GCCGAGCAGGGAGCCCGATGTGGGACTCGATCCCAGGACCCTGGGATCATGACCTGAGCCGAAGGCAGACGCTTAACGACTGAGCCACCCAGGCGCCCTTGGGGGGATTTTTAAAGGCAGACAGGACTGATTCTTGTAACTGGGGTGTCACTGGAGGTATGTTGTTGCCGCAGTGTCTGAGCAGCAGGAGAGAGCGTTCACGCTGGGACTAGCAGGACTTCTTGGCGAGGGAGTTTTTAACTTCGGAGAACTCGTAAGTGCACCCTGGGCACAGATTTCTGTACAAGGGGGAGACTGATTTTTTTTGCCAGCTAACCATCTCCTCCTCGCAGCTCATGCACCCCGTGCTGGAATCACTGAGGAGCACCGACCGGCAGTGGCTGATTGACACCCTTTATGCCTTTAACAGTGGCAACGTAGAGAGATTCCAGACGCTGAAGACCGCCTGGGGCCAGCAGGTCAGTCATGGGAAGGACGGCTGAACGCTCCTACAGTGCCCCTGGCTCTCCGTCATCCTGCGTCCGTTCATTGATGTAACAGATGTTTTCTGTGCACCTTCCCTCTACACCCCAGGCACTGGGGAGACAGGAGATAAAGACAGGCCAGTCTTGCTCTCATAGAGCAGGTGGTTAAGTGGCTAGTTACAGTAGTAACTCAGTTACTATGATAGTGCTCAGTGCTACTAACAGAATACGATAGGGGAGTGTCATCTGGGTGACGGGGTCACAGAGGACCCAAAAGGAGTAATGCTCTGTGTCTGCTCTTAGGTGTGAGTAGAATTTAACCAAGTGAAGAATATGAGAAGAGTATATTCAACAGAGGAAATGAAGCTTTTAGCATGTTGCTGAACTGAAATAGGGTCTGTGAGGCCAGAGTGAGTGAGTGATGAGAGCCAGGGAGAGCCTGGGATTCGGGAAGGCAGGACAGTCTGTACAGGAAGGGAGTGGTCAGTGCGGGGCGGCGGGGCGGGGGGGGGATGGTCAGTGTAGAGGGAAAGGGGTCAGCAGGGGAGAGGGCACTGGGCTAGGAGAGGAGCCTCTGGGAGGTGTGAATTAGGGAGAAGAGGTGTTAACACGGACCTGAGCTTTCATAGTAAGTTTATTTTTTAAATGAAATTATTAGAAGCAAATATTACTAAATTGTTCATAGTGATAGGAATTATTGTTTTTGTACTTTTCAAAATAAACTTGTAGAATTCACACATAATGGAGCCGAGTAGATGTAAATGGGCTGTGAAGAGGCAGAAAACAAGACCAGCCAACCCTAACTATAGTCCGTGTGTTGATCTCTGAAAGAAACAAATGTGCCACTTGGAAAGAAAGATGGCTAGCTGTAGAAACGTAAGGAAAGAAAGAACATCAGAGGTGCCTTGCCTGCAGTATCTGTCTAAGCAGCAAGAGCCCATTTGGGGGGAGTGGGCTCTTGGTGAAGAGTTTGACCTGTCCCATACCTGTGGCAGAAATGTCCCTGGGGAGACTGCCTGTGTTGGGGTGTGAGTTCCTAAATGTTTGAATCAGGGAACCCATTCTCCCTTCTTGTCTCTGCTCAGCAGTGACCCGTGACCTACCTGCCAGGCGACTGTGCATGTCATGCAGAAGGGCATGTTCTGGTTCTCACAACAGTGCTGGTTTCATCACAAGTTAATGACTTGCTCTTCCAGTTCAGAACAGCTCCCTGAAACTTAAGGAATGTGTTCCTCGGAGGCCCCACTTAACATGGAGCTGAGCAAGCAGGCAGTGCACTTGGACCTGCTCAGGCACAGGACGGGTCCTTCCTTGCCTTTCTTTGTGCCAAGAGTCTCCTTGAAACGCCTGCACCTGGGTCCTACCCCCTGGTGTCTGCAGCATTAGTAGGCATCTTACCTGGTAAATGCCTTATGTGGGAGCATAGCCTTTTGGGGATGCACCAGTTAATGGTGTCCTAAGAAAAGTGAGCCTCCGTGACCCTACAGTGTAAGGTGTTTGGATGTGCCAAGTTTCTTTTCGTTCGATCTGTTGTAGAAAGAATTTCACAGCCCGGGTTAGGTAACTGATATCTTTCTACTTTTCAGCCTGATTTAGCAGCCAACGAAGCCCAGCTTCTGAGGAAAATTCAGTTGTTGTGCCTCATGGAGGTAAGCAAGCACCCAGGAACCGCTCTGATTTCAGACCCTGCAGGTGAGCTCACGGGGTCCTGCAAACTCTCCAAGCCTCCTGTAGGGATATTTTGGCTACACCCCCTCTCCACTACCTTCCTTTTTCTTCTGCCACCATTGGCTTTTTTAAGTTTGTATTTGAGTCTCATCTTAGATAATGCTTCCTCAGAGAGGTATTCCCTGCCAGTCTGAGCTAAAGTAGCTGCCACCTCATTATATGTGCCATTTGACATGCTCTTCTGTGTTTCCCGACTAGAATTTAAGCTTCTTGAGGAAATGGACCTTACATTTCTGGGCCACCACGCTGTTCCCAGCTCAAGGACAGCCCTGGCACACAGCAGCCTCAAGCACTTGCTCGGGGCATGAATACTGACCATTGCCAACAACTGCTGTGAAGCTTATTTCACCTTAGTATCTGAGCATGGGAAGCTTGTTCCTAATAAGATACATGGCTAATGTTTTTTTTTTTTTTTTTTTAAAGATTTTATTTATTTATTTG